CCATCGCTACTGCTGCGCAAAAAACCATAATACCAAACCAAATTGAGAATCTGTGCTGTGTTCTCACCTTAGCCATCCTTATTGTGTAGGACCTTTCCTGATTGTGTATAAATATGGGGACTATACCCGTTCTCCTGTCTTTCCCTTCTTTTTGCAGTCTTACAGATGTGAGGAAAAACTACATTTGGGATTTTACATTCCCCTAACCAGCTGAAGCTTGCTGGAAAGGGTGCAGATGGGGCCATGCATTTCTGCAGGTGCTTTAGATCTTCATCTCTTCCAACTTTGCTTCCTTGTTTCCCAAAGCCTGACTTCTTGTCTTGCATACTCAGCTGTGTGGTGCTATTGACGTAAGGTCAAAATGTCGTGACTTTTATTACTCAAATAAGAGAACACTGCGTGCAGTTTTTATTGACTGAGCACCTTTAGCTTTTATATAAGTCCTTTTATCATCTATCTTCATTTTCTACTAGCTTTTCCCACGTTTCTCTTTCCACCTTTGTATTTTTAACTTCATTTTCACAAGAAAATAGCATGTGTCTTACTGCGCTTGCCAATGCTTTCCTCAGAAGTCTTTGCTGGTGTACCCCAAGGGTTTGGGTTCTCCCAGTCCAGGGGACTGGGATAAAAATGGGACTGGGATAAAAATGGGATATAGTGTTGTCTATTGTCACTCTTAAGGCTGACTTTCTGTCCCCTTGAACAGGGGAATGATGCAGCTGTCCCTGATAAAGTTAAGGCACTAGGATAACTCATCTCAGTTTGTATTTTATAACTTAAAAGACAGAGTATATTTAATGTATGTGGTACACTGAAAATGTAATTTCATCCAAGGTAACTAGGGAACATGTCTCTCTGTCTGTCTCCTTTTTTCTTTTTTCTTTTTCTTTTTCTTTTTTTTTTAACTGCTGTTGATGTTATTTTACCTATTGGAGTGAATTGCTGTTGTCCAGAGAGTCATCTGCTTTTGAAATGATTGTTTTGTAGGGCACGTTGCTACTGATAATCTCTTTGCAATTAATCCAAAGAAAAACTTACTGACTTTGTAAAGAGAAGAAAAAGATGCTTTGGTTCTGATCTTAGTGGCTGGTTCTAGTCTTACCTTTATTTTGGAGGAGACCACTGCAGTTGATATGAAGGAGTATTTGCAGTGTTCCCTATCTGTGGACCATGTTGGATTGCGAGTTTCTTTCTCAAATCCTGACAGGAATGCTTGCAGCATTTATGGACTACTTTGTTGCTATTAGTTTTGTTCTCAATTACTGATTTCACATTCTTCTTTTCATTCTTCTAGCTCACATGATGAATACCAATAAATACAGTTGCTTTAGGTACAGCACTGTATAAGTGTATCTGGTTTGCGCTGAAAAAGACATTTTTAGGCATGTTGTATCTTTAAATTTGACTTGGTTCCACCCTTACACCAGAAATCATCTAGAATGCTGAGATGGAAAACTTTGCAATTATTTCAGTTACTGCATCTTCTGCCTGGTTTGGCTGTTGCCTTGTGCTCAGTAATTTCACACACGTGCTCAGTGTTCGAGGTGTGTGCGGTAGCTTTTGCGGTGAGAGTTATTACGGTATTAATGCTTTTTACAAGCTTCTGTGAAATAGCTTCTTACGATAGTAGTCTTGGAAAAGTACTTAGGGTTTTTTTTTGTTTTTTTCTTTTTTTTTTCTTTCTCCTTTAGAATATAGATTACATTTTGCTTGTACATTTTCTGTTGTTTTTTTCTGGGAGAGTGAGGACTGTGTTGGAGAGCAGCCTGCAATGCTTTGTGGTGCATTTTGTTTCGAAATGCAGTTGGTGAATAGCCACTGATGGAACTCTGTCTCCTGTCTCAGTAGACTAGATTGCTGTTGCCTTTGCATTTTATGGATCGAAACAGGTAACCCCCCATGACTGGTTTTCTCTCCTAGATGAAGATTAGGATTGGGGAAAGACTCTGAAATCGTTAAAGTATGGCTTCCTTTAGTTCCTTTCAGAGACTTCAGAAAGACTCTTGACTAACAGTGCACCCGTAAAATTAACGGCAGAGGGAAAAGAAGAAATGATTTCATTTAGTATATTGTGAAAAATCTCTATTTGTAGTTGAGAAGAGGAAGAATTACACTTTCTGGAGAGAAATGTGTTATTAAATCAGAAAACATATTTGGAAAAAAGCAAGCAATGTAGGGTTTTTCTTGTAAATGACTAAAAATCCTGTTTCTTAACATACCTTAAAAACAGAAAAATGTTAGTGAACATACAACGTTTTAAGAACCTGTTGGTAAATTTAAGGAAGAGCTATACCTCTGCTCTGTAATGTATTGGAGATTGGTGCTTCGATACATCAGCATGCCTTTTATATGATAACTGAACATTTTCCTATTTTAAATTGCAGCGCGTAAGTTTGCTGGGAGCCGCTTCTCTAACTAGTCGAAATTTAAGAGCAATGAGTCAAAAATTTGTTCTCGTTCTCTGGCCTCTCTTTCAGATGGATCCACCTTAAACATAATACTTCAGTCTAATGCGGCAGCTTTGCTGGTATGAACTTCATAGACTTGGTCTCTATTTTACATTACTTGGTGAGAAGCTTCATTTTGCCTATTGGTGTCCGCTTACATTGGGTTTGGACTCAAGACCTTGGAAGAAGTGGAAAGGATAGGTTAAAGGGATGGAGGACAATGTCTTTGTTTTGTTCCAGGGTAGAGTTATAGTTGTGAGCATGCTGTGGGTGAGAATAGCTGTAGAATAAAGCATTTCTCCTCCAGAAAGCTGTGTCGTTAGAGATGAAAACGTAACCCCGTAGGTAGCTGACTCCCATAAGAAGAGAACCTAGCCTGGGACTGCGATCAGCCACAGTCAGTCTCCGAAATGCATGGTAGCGGTTGGATGCAAAGGCAGCTGTTGGTGGGTATCCACAAGGGCACAGCTACCCGGTGAGTCCTCTTAGCGCTGCTGGCTTGGGCAGTACAGATGCCTTCGTTGCACCTTCTTGGCAGTTGTACTGGCCCAGGTGTTTAAGGGGATTTATTCTGTGTTGGATTAGGGATCTGTGTTACTCTTTTTGCTGGGTTATTTTTAAGCAGGATCAGTTTCCTGAGCTGATTCACTGGCCTGCCCCAGTTTAATGATACGATGAAGCTGGTTAAGGTGGTGGTTCCCAAGTTCTTGCTGTTGAACGTGGTTTTGCTGACAAAGATTTCTGTTTAACCACAACCAAAGTGGTGTCTGATGTAAGAAGAGAAATTAAGAAATTGCACCATTTTACTCATCGACACTTCAATGTGATGGGGAGGGAGATAAGTAGATGCGGGGTGATCTGTAAACACAAGATTACAAGGCAGCTTGCGGTGTGCGCATCCTTTTTGTATTCTTTTGATAAAAGTGAGTCATGTGCCTCACCTAATACGAGCTTGAAGAGAAAGTGCGAAATTCAAAGAAGATTGGAATAAGTTTCTAGAAAACCTGTAAACAAAAATGTAATGGCAATCTGTGGGTGGCAATGTGAGTTCTGTGGGTGGCAATGTGAGTAAGAGCAGACCCACGTTCCTCTTGGACAGAAATGGTTCTCCATCACCCCTTCCCCCTCCCCCTCCACTGATTTGGTTTCTGTGAGGATGTCCTATCTTGACTTGTGTTTTATAGTGTTAAAATTTTTATGTGAGAGTTTTCTCTTGTGTCATTGGAACAATGGCTTCCTTATTACCTTGTTTCTGTCAAATGATTTTGAGTGGCAGTAGCTGAGTTATTCTCACTTATCTTTTAACTGAATTTGTAATAGGCTTCTACTAAAGTATCTTCACTGGTATGGTATGATTTAACTGTATTTCTTCTGGAGGAATACAGAACCCATTGGGTAAAATGTCCTTATTTTAAAAGCTGGAGAGGACTGCTGAGACTGTAATCAAAGCTCCTGTGAGATTTCGTTCACTGTTTTCTGAAGGCAGTACGAAATAGGTGCTTGAAATAAGGATGTGTTTTTCAGACACCATACAAAGTCAATCCACAATACAAAGAAAAATCTTTCACCTTTAATAACTCATTACATCAGTTATGTTGCTTTCCCTGCTTAGATAGCTGTATTGGAGTTGCAATATGAAGGTTTTTCTTTAGTTTTAGTCAGGTTATCAGCTGCTTTTTTACTGGGGCTAACTAATGATCCTCTAATTCAGTATGTTGGTATTGTTTGAAGTGAAAACAAATATTTCAATTTTATGTGGTCCGAGTACATGGGCTTGGTTTTTCTTCCTAAGGTGTACAAACAAAAACATTTTGGGTTTACAATTAACATGTGTTTCACATCTAGTGGAATTCCTTTTTTAATCTAAATTTTATTTAAGGCCTAGCACACTGTCCCACTTCCCTGCACACCAGGACAGAATATATTCCCGTGTAGAAAACTACTTATTTGCAGTCACCATATCTGATTTTTATTTTTCCCTGGGACGCTAGAGGATTAGAGCAGATTATAGTGTTGGGATAATGTCTGACTCCTTGTGTTCCATTTAGTCATAAATAAACCTCTGAAAAATCTGAATGTTGCTATGGTGATGTTAGCAAAAGCCTGGGATATGGAGTGAGCCGCTTAGAAGCATAATGTCACTTACAGTAATGAGTACACCATTGTTAGAACAGTGATGGGTTTACCTGATGCTCTGTAACGTTGGTAGCTCATGCCAGATTCTCAAAGTGAGTAAGTAAATGCAATTCATATGAATATGCTCTGTTCAGTAACTTGCAACTACTGACCTTTGAACAAATGGAAACTTGTGTTTTGTCTGTTTAATTTCTAGCTTTAATGTGTTGAAGTATCACAGAGAAACAAGGAAAAACTTCCAGTCTTTGTATGCTGCCTTCCACATGATGATCTGGTTGAGTTAAAACAACAAAAAAATCAGTTCACAGCAGTTTTGTTTTAAACTGTGTAAACACACACTTTTCTTCTGAATGTGTGGAATATAAAAAGCAAGTTTGCATGAAAATGTGGTTTGTTCTTTTTTTTTTTTCCTTTTAGTCTTTATAACCTGGCTTCACTGGAACTCAGAGAAAATTTGCTGACATATTTACCTGAGTAAGTGACATCTCATGTGTTTGATTCTATTAACATAAAATGTTCTTATTCTTAAAATCTGCTAACATATGAAACTGAGTGACAGCTAGAAAAAATATTCAGTGCTGATTGACACCATGTATGAGATAGAGCTTTGTTTTAGCAACACTTAGTCACATCCATTATTTCAAGTTGTACTTGGTTAGTAGCAGGAGCCTGCAGTCTGTGTCGATTGATTGTGCTCCATAAAAATATTCTGTATAAAATACAGCAGCACCAAACGTTTCTTCCTGCACACATTGAACGAGCGCATCAGCAGTGGGAGTGGTGGCTTGGGTTGTTCTCATGCTGAAATTTCACAACTGTGAAGGTAGGATCTCAGACATTTCCTCTCTAGACCTTCATAGCATTTAAATAAGCATTCGTGTTCAGGGCTAAGTAACCAAAAGCTTCCAAAACCTGGAGATCAAGGACTTGGTGACAAACTAGGCCTACTGATGTCTGAAGTCTGACTCCACCCATGGTGATTTTGGGGGAAAAAGGATATCTAGATGTGTCTGTGCTGTCTGTATTGCGGCAGAGAAATTAGTGGTCTTCTGTAAGATTAATTGGATATCTTATATTTTGGGGATCCTTTTTGGCTGCCTCGAAGAAGCCTCTTCTTTCTCTAGCAAAGGAGTTTCCTTCCTTCACTACCTGGCTGCTTCTTGCAAGAGTTTTGGTGACTCCTATTCTGCTTGTTTAGATTATCTAATAGATGCTGTAATAGATTTAACCTATTTTAATCAGAATCTCTTCCCCAGTTGCTTTGGGGTCCTTTTTTCCTGTCAATGTACCCAGTACCTTGGTTGTGGCTGTTTATAGCTGTGAACCACAAGGCACTTTAAATGTCAGTGGTCAGAAGGTATGAATTGCTAGCTAGGTTTTGCGATGCGGTGTCAGAATGAAGAATGTTGACAATTTTATTGCTCCTGGAAAATTCTGACTGTCAGTAATGTAGCTGACGAGTCTCACTGGCTTTCGTGCTGCTGCGGTTTTGGGGAAGGTAAGCAAGAGCTCTACAACAGACTGCTTTTGAAGTAGAAGGATAGCCCTCTGTGTCCGTTCATGTTCAGAGAACTTCTTTTACATTCTTTTGGGCTTCTCTCTGTTTGCATCCTCAAATCCAACCTGAAATATTTCAGAAATGGGTAGATCACGTTGAGAAGATAAATGATGGATTTACTGAGTCTTGAGTCACACTGTTACATGTGATCACTACGGGAATTTTTATCCAGTTGTGTAACTGTAAATTCCCCCTAAAAATAAATCTAAACTATATGGCATTGTCCACCCCAAGGGACTGATGGTTAAAATAAAGAATAAAGATTTGATTGCCTATACTAAGTTTTAAATTTCAAGGCATATAGTTGTACTGACAAACCAAATTATTTTTTCAGTAAGATATTACTGCATATAGTCTATGCCCAGTAAAATAACTGTCTGTCTACAATATGTTGTAATTTGAAATACGAGTTTCAGTAAAATGACCTCATTCAAATACATGGGGTTTCTGTTGGTTTAGTCTGATGCAGTTTTGTTTTGATTTATTCCATCTCACAGATCACTTGCCCAGCTGCAGCGACTAGAAGAACTTGATTTAGGAAACAATGAACTTTATCACTTGGTAAGAGAACATGCCACTGAAAGTGCACGTTGGTCTTGTTTTACGCATCATTTAGATTAAATAGGTCGTAGGATGTCCAAAACTGAAGAAAGAAAAATGTATGGAGGGAGAGTCTTTTTACACGTACAGATGAATTTTGGCAGTGAGTTGGTGCTTCCCATATCTGCTTAGCCTTGTTCAGTACAATATTACTTTAGCCAAAAAACTGCAGCTGATCTCTAGAAAATGAGACCACTGCACAGACTTTCTCTACGGAAGGAAAAAGGAGTGGAAGGGCACAAACTCGTCTGCACTTGCAGTTACAATGAACACATGGGCTTCTGTAAGGAGCTGGATGGGCTGAGCACAGATGAAAGCTCAGCTATTTCCAGGGTGGGAGTAGGAATCTTTGGGAAAGGACTGAGGCAAACTGTTGAGGGTTGCAGTGTCTGACATTGTGGCAGATAGATCTACCAAAAGATATCTGTCATCTCCCTTAAGCTGACTCAATTAAATGTTGGATTTGCAGTAGATTAACAGTGTGCATGCAATTTGTTAGTGCATGTCAGGTAAAGTATGGTAGCTTGTTAAGCTATAACAATTAGTTTGTATGATGGAGTTCCCAAATGCTTACAGTCACCCTTGCTGCATTTAACCTTGGTACCTCTAAATAGTGCTTGGAGTGAGGATTGGTTTACTCAGACTGTAATTACAGGGTGGCCGTTTGGTTTTTACTTGAAGCTCCTATGCTACTTAACATTATTACTTTTTATGTTATAGCCAGAAACAATTGGTGCACTTTTCAATCTTAAAGACCTCTGGTTGGATGGAAACCAATTAGCCGAAATACCTCAGGTAAAGATGAGCTCTACTGATACTGTTTTGAAGATGCTTTTAAAAGAAAACCTTTTCGTTCTTACCTAAAGGGAGGTGATTTACAATTGAATAGTTTTCTCAGTTCACTTTGCCTGGGTTTGGTTTTGGATGTGTAAGGGTTTTCTCTTAATAAGTTCCTCTGCAAGGGATCGTACATGGTATCATACATCGTCAGACATTTTCTTTTAAAAAATTTTGACAAAGGAGTTGTTTCCTAATAGGCACATTGTTCAATTTATAGGATGACACATCCTCTGTTTACAGTCCTGGCCCAATGATCACGGAGCCACTAGTTGACTGAGCTAACCCTCACCTTTCGTATCTATCTAAATTGCAGTTTTGACAGTTTTGAGGATGAATCGTCGTTTTTTTGCAGTGATCTTCTTCCATTCAAATACAGTGTTTGGGAGAAGTACAATAATAGAACTGTTGCCATAAATAGAAATTTTGATCTATGCAGGCAAATCCCCCATCTGACATCAGTCATGGGGTGAGGGGCCTTAGCATTTAAAGCTTACAGCACTCTGAATTCCCTTTCTTAAGAACTGTGATAACATGTGGGATGGTTTCTTTTCCCTCTTTCTCCTTTAGAGCCAAGTCAAAGCCTGTTTTCTCCTGTTCCTTGTGCAGTTTGCTGTTATTTGCTGTTATTTGTTTGTTATTATTTGTTATTATTGATCTCATTGTCAACAGTGTAACTTGGAAATCAGTTACAGTTTAGTGGGCTTTGCTGATTTCGTTGTTGTTGACTTGGCCTAATAATTTTTTAAGTAGATGTAGTTAAACACCGATAATCATTCATGAAGGGTCAAGTGTGACTTCAGCAGCTGTTTTCATTAAAGCTGGCCATTATTGTGTAGTTTGTCTGATGTCCAAAAGATGAACTTGTAGGATAAAGGGTGTGTGTGTGTTTAATGAAAGATCCACTTGAGAGGCAAACATTTCCAAAATAAAAGGACTGATCTTGTGAGTTAGGATCAAAGTTGTCACTGTATGAAAATTTTATAAATGTGAAAGTAAAGGACACTTCTGCCCAGCCATTCTGTTCTCCGAAAGATGATTTGGATGACTAAAATGAGAGCTATTCTAGAGCGTGTATAGGGGTGTCTGTGTACATGGGGAATGGGAGGGTGCTTTGATGGCTAATAGGGACAAAGGTATTTCTCTGTCAGACGTTTGAGCTAATTGGCAGATTACCATTGTAAAAAATTAAGTAATCATTAATAATTGTAGATGATGGCAGTATAACTTGGCAGTTCAAATATGCTTGCTAGAGCAACACTCCCAATTCCTATTTCTACATTTGTTGCAGTTGGGAGATGTGAAGATATGAAATCCCTAGATGTCATGGCATGTTGCTGTATCAGCCAGGAGAGACTAATCCTAATTTGCCTAGGGTTAATTGGGAGGGGCAGACTTTAATTACGTGGAGGTTGATAATCTGTAGTTCTGAAAAAACAACTTTGCAGTCTTTACTTGAGGAAAACTCCAGTTTTGGCTGGTGCTTGCCTGGGTGTGCTCAGAACACCTTGTCTGACTACTGAAGCCAGTCTTAATAGTTAGAATAAAAACCTGTGACTGAATCACTGGTTGGTTTACCTTATGTAAAATGTAATTATTTACTTTTTTCTGCCTTTAGAGGTCATAGAAAGAATGGCCAATTTAGAGGTCATACAGAGAATTCTTTTTCCTTCTGGAATTTCATTGCGATGGTACATTTTTCAAATTGCTTTGTAACGTGTTTGGGCATGACTTAAATTTTTTGTCTTGTATCGCAGGAAGTAGGAAACCTGAAAAACCTGCTTTGTCTGGATGTTTCTGAAAATAAATTGGAATGCCTTCCTGAAGAAATTAGTGGTCTGACTTCTTTAACAGACTTGCTTGTTTCTCAGAATTTACTTCAGGTCTTACCTGATGGCATTGGTAAGTACAAGGTGAATGCTATCACACAGAACCATTTAATCCACCGTAAATTGGAAGTCGTTTGTTTTCAAGTCTTTTGAAGTCTTTTTGTGCAAGAGATGAGCTTGTCTCAGCTTTTTTTTTTGGTTTTTTTTTTGCTTAGTATGAAATGCACAACTCTATTAATTTTTCATTTTAATTGTCTGCATAATGACTACCTCCTAATCCTTTTTGGTCTTCACTTGATACCTACTTGAAAAAAATAAAAGTTAATATATCCTCTCTGTTCCTACTGTGTCCACGTCACCATCGTAACTCTTTAACATTGTAAAATTCTAGCTTGTAACATGCTGTGGGTCACTTGATAAGACTGACTGACAGTATCACTGCAAAAAATACATCCTTTTTAGTGGGGATGTGTAATTATCTTCAGTGGGACAATGTAATTAATCCTATGCTGAACCCAGCGGAAGGCTGTTCCAGCTTCAGCCCATTACTCCTCACCCTTGAGGATCCAAACTACAACCTTTCTGTGGCTGGCCCCTTAATATAGGTTTAATAACTGAGGAATGTTTTCTGAAGTATTACTAGTGCCTTTTCTAAGGTAAATGTTTTTACCCCTGCAGTAGTTGTGACAAGTAGTCAGCGAGGCGTTTTTTCTACTACTCATCAGCTGTTTTTCTGGAGAGTTTCACTTTGCAAGAGCATGCCTTCTCCTTGCCAGGTTTTTGTTTTGTTGGTTGTTTTTTTTTTTTTTTTCCCAAAAGATAAAGGTGTAGGGGAAGGAGGACTTGTGAATGTGGTTTAACCAGGAATGTGGAAAAGAATGGACAGACCTTCCCCCTTCCTCCATATGCTATATGAACCTAAGAAAAGAGAAATGCTTTTCTAGAAGTTAAACTTGGGGGAATGGGGTGACTACTGTAGGTCCTACAGTTGGCTAGTGTGTGTTTGGTAGAGAGTTGTAGCAGCCCTCTCTGATGACCTGAGCTGGCCAGTACAGTTGTTGTAGATCAGGAATGGAGCTGTGCCTTCTGAAAGGCTGCTGCCCATGCAGCCTGCCAGAGCGGAGCTCGTCTATAACACCAGCTGGTGAACAAGAGGAGCTGCTGCTTCTCGAGAATCCTGTTAAATGGAGATCCTTTGCTGGGGAAGGCGATTGCAAAGGGCCAGGCCATTTCAGGCCAGGCCTAGTTTGCATGTGCATTTTGTAACATTTTCTGGATGTAATTTTGTTACAAATGCAAAAAAAATTGCTACTTATATGAATATAATAGCTTACTTGTGTTTGGAAAATTGGGTAGGGCTACAGTACTTATTCCTTTTGTGTAATACTGGAACTTACTATGCGAAATGGAGAAAATCTGGTATTGTGGTTGAAGTGAAAACTTCACTGGTCTCTATGGAAGCTACTGGGAGGAGCTCAGCTGATCATCAAATCGTTGGTTGGATTGGTGGATCTGTAGAGCCCTCGAAGCAAGGCTTTCATCAACACCAGTAGGTCAGGTCAGCTGTGGCCGTGTCTCACCAGGTCTCTAAAGCCCCTAATGGAGGCGGCTCCAGCACCCCCAGGCAGCCTGTGTCAGTGCTGCACCACCTCCCAGTGAGGAAGCTTCTCCAGATGTCCACCTGGGACCTGCCACGCTTCGCCTTCTGAAAGGCTGCTTCTTGCCTGCCATTGCTGTCTTGCCTGCCACTGCAGAGAAGAGTTTGGCTCTGTCATCTCTGTAAATGGCCTTCAAGTAGTTGTGGGCTGTTTCCTGCCTCCTTGGCTGCTCCTTTGCTGGAGTCCACAAAGCCAGCTCTCTCAGCCTCAGCTCACATGTGCCCTGGTCATCTTGATAGCTTTGTACTGGACCCCCATCAGCGTCTCACTTGAACTGGGGAGTCGGGGGGAAGACAGGACACGCAACATGAAACTGAGCATGATTTTACAGGTGTGGCCTCACTGGTGCCAAGTAGATCGGATATAGTGACTTCCATTGATCTTCTGGCTGTAATTCTAACATAGTCCAGCCAGTGTTTATTTCTGGTGAGAGCGCACTGCTAGTTCTTACTCAGCCTGGCGCCTACCATAAGACCCAGGTCCTTTCCAGCAGGGCTCTTGTACAGCCTGTCACTTGCCAGGCTGTACTGGTGCATGGGGTTATTCTGCCCAGGTACAGAGCTCTGCAATTCTCCTTGGTGAACCTTGGGTTTCTGTTTAGGTCTCTATCTTGCCATGTATCAGCCATCTCTTCATGATTTAGCATCATCAGTGAATTTGATGTGCCAGCCTATTACAGCTATTTTGGACAGTGTGGGGATGGGCAGCGAGGTAGTAGCAGCTAGTGATGTCTCCTGAATTCTCTGTCTTGGGCTCTGCCTGGGTCAGCTCTGCTTTGCACCAAAGATCATTCTGATACAAAGGAGCAGAATCATAGAATAGTTTGAGTTGGAAGGGACCTTTAGAGGTCATCTAGTCCAACACCCCTGCCAGGCAGGCACATCTTCAACTAGATCAGGTTGCTCTGAGCCCCATCCAACCTGACCTTCAATGTTTCCAGGGATGGGGCATCTACCACCTCTCTGGGCAACCTGTTCCAGTGTAAAAAACTTCTTCCTTATACAAGGAAGAACCAGGTGAGCTTTCTGCTCTGAAATAGTATTTTGTCCTTCCTGGGGCAAAGACCTTCAAGGAAGTTTGATTTCTATTCTGAAAAATGAACTTGGGTTTCATGTCTGACGAACTGGGTTCTATATTAGGATGAAGAGACCTTGATCCTCTTTGAGTTTGGGCTGTCACTTCAGTGCAAGCCTTTCTTACTATGGCTGAGTAGGCATAGGTGATCTTCTGCACACTCCTTTATGAATAAACATTGTATAATTGAGGGAAAAAGAGATAATTTTCTCCTGTTTATAGGCCTTTGGGTAGACATGTCCTTAACATTTACATGGAGTACCATTCAGATTGCAACTTTAATACAATTTAATATGCTTAAATATTGAATATGAGTATTTATATTGAATATGAATTCAATGATGTTATAAACTTGCAGAAACAGTGCAAGTGAAGCAATGCGTGAATTCTTTTTTTACCTGAAAAAAAATTTCATTGTGTTGGAGGATTTCTAAAAGTTTTGCAGCAGAATGATTTTCTGTAATTAAAGCAGGTATGGGAGGATACTAAGCTAAACAAATGTGTTGTTCTTTCTGTCCAGGAAAGTTGAGGAGGCTCTCCATTTTGAAGGTTGATCAGAACAAACTTATTCAACTAACAGATTCAATTGGAGACTGCGAAAGCCTTACTGAACTAGTTCTAACAGAAAACCAACTGCAGGTAAGCATGGTCATGACTGCTCAAATGGCTGACAGTAATAAGACCTGCTGCTAAGTGCGGAATCACTTAGCTCGTAAGGTTACTGACTGTTACTACTGCTAAGTAGCGAGTTTCCTTTAAATGCATCTTATTTCGAACCTGTTAAATGAATGCTGAAGATCAAGTTGTGCGTAGTAACAATCCTCCCTTCCAAAGGCTTAAGCAATTACATGTTCACTCTTGAATCCTTCATGATCAGTAAGGGAATAGGAGCACCTGGAGCGCACGTATCATTTACTTTGCTGTGTTTTTAATGCGGAGTTTGTGCCGCGTTGCGTTGTTGCTGGTTTTTGCTGTGCATTATCTGGATCAGACTTGCTGTAACTGAATAGAAGTCCTGAGCGCTGCAGAGCTGCTGTTGTGCTGTTCCTTGCTCTGCTGATCTACTCCAGCCAGGTACTAAATATGGTATGTGTTCAGTTAAAATAAAATTTCAGACTTCCTTCCATTAGGTGTTTCCTTTCGTTATTTTGAAACTGCCTTCACAGGACACTGATGCTTGGAGACTAGAAATTTTTATAAAAATCTAGGTTTGAGCATTTCTTAAGTTAGGTTGGTGTTTGGTTGAGTTAGGAGCTTAAGCCTGTTGGAAAGATGCCTCTCCGGAGGTCGGTTCATAGCACCTAAGTTAGAAGCTTGCCTCTCAATTAGCTATTTAGGGAGCCTAAAGTTAGATAATATGGGCATTCTGCATACATGCTTCTGTACAGAGCTGTTGTGCATCTATCATCTTAGTGCAGAGATAACTCATGAGTGAATTTGTATTAGAAACTGACATTCCTGGATGTTTCTTCTGCAAGATAAAACCTTGAATCTCCTTTGGAAGGCTTGGTACTAACGAGTTAACTACATTCCAGTTTTAAAAATGGATCAGTCTATTAATTCATTTTTAAAGTGAGATAAGTCTTGTTCTGACTCTGTGAATTTACAAATTCTGTTTGCATATTATTTTGTTTTTGTTGGCACAGTCATTGCCGAAGAGCATTGGAAAACTAAAGAAGCTGAACAATTTGAATGCCGATAGAAACAAATTAACATCTTTGCCCAAAGAGGTAAGTTTTGTGCAATTAACTCTGACAGATGTGATTATACAAACATAAAACTCTTGATTTCAAATGCCTACAAGAAGTAGCAGGCAGTTTTGATCCACTGGGTATTCTTCCCAAACCAATCACAACCAGAAACTTGTCCATTGGGTCTGAACAGCATAAATCTGAACAGCAGCTGTGGTGATTTGGTGGCTTGGAAGTGCAAAATGTCTTTGCAGTTGAACAGCAAGGCTTGGATCTAACTAGCTTGTAACGAGTAATTCCCAGTGTGGGTGTCAGGTCCAGCACTATTCGAAGACTGTTGGGTTGACGGTTGGACTCGATGATCTTAGAGGTCTTTTCCAACCTTAATGATTCTATGACTGGGAGTTCTGGTAAGTGAATGCATTCAAACATCAATATGCCTCTTCTGCATGTAGTATAAAAATACTGCTGGAGTCTTCCTCTCCTCACTCTTGTGAGCAATAGCAAAGAGAAGGTTTCATATTCTGAAAAATGATTCAGAGACTATTTTGACAGTCTTTTTTGTTTTGGAGATCTCGGGACTACTTTTGCCTTTAAATATAAGGACTTGACATGACCAAGATCACTGATACCTCAAATCTTATAGCTATGATCACGAGGACTTCTTGTCTATTGTAACAGTATATGGAATGAAATGAGGCTAGAATTTCTGTTTTGAAACTAAATATAACGAAGGCCTTACAAGTTCAGCAGCAGTAAATTCTGGAAGGAGATCAGGGGAAGCAGCATCCTATGACTGCATCATGGGACTGTGAGTTGGTTCTATTTGCACTACTCTTTCTCTGTAATTTTTGTCCAAGTAGTTCTCCCCCTTAATTTTCCTATCCGTTTCTAACATGTGGCTCTGAGGCTGTAGCTTTTGTTCACCACTTTCAGTCACTTCAGGAGCAGGAGGGGTACGTACTCAGGTCGCAGCCGATGGATGGGAATTGAGAGGAGTATCAGCTCTGGCTAGTGAGCACACACTTCTGCTCAGGCCCGCTTATTTATGGAGCTTGGACAGCTCGAGGAGGAGGTGTGAGGAGGAAGCAAAGTGGCATGGAACCGGGAGGTGGGGGAGAGCTGATGGTTTGAAGTGGAGGGTTCGAGCAGGGGCAGAGGATGCTGCTCTGGCACTGGTAGCAACAATTCCAGTGGCCCAGGTCTGAGCTGCCACAGGTCAGTCACCTAATCGGGGCTCTACGACAGCCCTTATTGCTCCTTTACAGTTTGGCTTGTAAGTGTATGTTTGATGGGGGGGGAAGGTGAGGGAGGGAAGAGAAGATGTGAGTACTGCAGCTCCTTTAGCAGGACAGTGTCTCCTCTGCAGAGGTGCTGCTGATTCTGAACAGAAGATTGCAGAGGGCGTACCCAGACAGGTTGCATAAACGCTAGGAAGAGGCAGGACCTTGGGAAAACTGTGTTTCTGGGATGGGATGTGATGGCAATTTTGATCTTGTGCTCATTCAGCAGAAAACTTTCCGTGTCTTTACAAAGAACTTAATTTAATACATTACACAGGTGTCCTAAACTGTCTGTACTTGAGACTCGTACAGTTTTGTGTGTAGTCCACCTTTAAGCAGAATTGCTCTGAGTTTGTTATAGCGTGTAAAGTTGTACTGATACACTTTATTTCCAGTTTGGCCATTAATAGCTTATGTAACGTATAAGCACTAAGCACTTTTCTTAGTTAATGAAGTTCATGGTATTGGAGACAGTGCATGAGGGCGAGCAGTGTGGCTTGGAAGGAACAGGGACAGGAGCAGGTGAGAGGAGAAGGCTCGGCTTCAGAAGCGGGTAAAGCAGGGTGAATATGGAGTGTGTTTGGGAGGAATAACAGAGTCAAGGGCTTGGTGCAGAACAATAAAGGGATTAATGCTGAACAAGAAACAGGAAACTTGGAACCAGAAATGGGTTTCAGAGGTGGAAGGCGTTGCCCAGTTGGTGAAGGAGTTGGGGATATCCTAGGGTGAAGTGAAGAACAAGAACATGTGTGGAGAACATTAGTGCACATGAGAGAGAGGGGAAGGGACACCTGCACAAGGGGTGGGATAAAGTCAGGGATGAGTTTGTGTTTGGAGAAGGCAGGTGATGAGGAAATGGAAGGTGGTATCTGGAATGAGGTGAGCTGGGGAGTTGTAGAAAGTCCAGGAAGTAAAGATGGGAGAGGGTGGTTCCCAGGGATCTTGGCAGAGAAACAGGAAACGGAGCTCCTTGGCATCCACTCCTTTGAAATAGAATTTTTTTTTTCCTGTAAAGGTCTCCACACCTATGTATCTTTTTTATTAGAGCAAACACTTTGAAATTATGTTTAACGTAAGATTTCCAGAATGTTTCATTAAAGTATGTTTTGCTCTGTGGATTTTTAAAACTCTTTTTTTTTTTTTTTTTAAAGGAAATCAGTCTTTCTCCAGCTGGAGGGTCATATCCACCCTCCAGATCAGTAGATTTGAATTCCAAGCTGGTAATGCTAACAAACAGAAAGCATAAACAACTGATGCAATGGTTTGTCTCAAAAATACTGTTAATATGCATGTATTGCAGAACCTACCGTCTAGCTAACGAGACTTTTCAGTTTCAGTTTTTCAAGTTTCAGTTTCAATTCCTTGTGCAATAAAACACTTTTCCCTCAAAGTCTTTAGATTGCCTTCTAACAACACTGAAATGCTAGTTTCAAAAACAGAAAGAAATCTACTGCTCTCTGCTCATGTTTTGTTTGTTCTCAGAGCTGCATTTTCTTTGTGTAGTATTTTTCTTAACCAGTAGCTTTTTGCTTTAAACCAAATGGGAACATTTCTGTAGCACAAGTTTTTTGGTTAAAATTCAGAGGAATTCAGTGAAGAGTCACATTTCATAGCTTTAAAAAAAAATGTTCTGCATAAACAGAGTGCACAGGTATAACGAGTACTGTTTGCTGTTACGCAAAAATCCACGAGAGCAGCTTCAGGGGTGCTGATAAAGGCAAAGATCCCAATTCTGAGTTTCCCTTTGGGTGGCAGGGAGGAACAATTTGGTGTCTTGGTGAAATGTTCAATTTCCATTTTCCTTCTCATCATTACTGACTTGGAAAAAAAAAAATACAAAATGCATTGGTAGAGCACTTAAGGAAGACTGAAGAATGTGTCACCCTTTTTCTGTCTGTTGTAAGGTTCTGCTTGACAGTGAGAAAACACACCGTCTTTTCCATTTATTGTCATCTCGAAGTGACTAATTAATATTTAAAGCCAGGCACAAACTTCTGACAGCAATAGTTTTCAACACCCCTGCCTGCTGTGTTGCTAAAGATGTCTCCTGAGATAGCATGGCGAAGATTGGGGTCTCAGACCTTTGCACGTCAATCAGCATTAGTACTTGTACACTGGTTCCCCCTTCACAGAAGCAGTCTCAGATGCAGTAGCAGAGTATGCACTGCAGATATTCTTGCTCGGTATCTTCCCCTCTTTTCCTTTCCCTCTTTTCCTTCCCTCTTTCTCTTGTTCTTTCTCTGCCTTACAGAGTGCTAGAACAGCTGTGCATTTGTGGTCTTCATCCTTTTAAGAAATGGGTGTGGGAAAGGCCTTTACTGGTTTCTCTTGGAGAGGGACAAAGACAGTCTGGTAACGTGTACAGAAAAAATGGGACTCTACTAGGGAGAAAAGTACAGGTAACAAATATCATATCTACTTGCTGGTGTCTCTGTCCTTCCCTCCAGAATTATTCCTGTAGCAAAGAGAGCTTTTATCAATATGATGGCAGAAATTATGTGCCTGCTCTAATATAACCTGGTGAGATAATCTATGAGTTCTAGCCTTTTTGTGGTGGTGTGGGGGTTTTTTTGGTGGTTTTGGGGTTTGTTTGGGGTTGTTGGTTTTTTGGTTCTTTTGGTTTTGGGGTTTTTTTAGCAGTTTACTAGGATTGGATTTTGGGTCAGCCTGTCAAAAAATTACATTGCCAGATTGTTTCAATGCACGCTTGTAAAACCAGTCTCTACCTTTTGATGTAATATTTCTTGACTTGGGATTATTGAGGAGCTTGTATGCAAATACTCCTTCAAAAGTACTTTCCTGGTTCAAAGGTTCTTCTGTATCTGGTGCCGATACATAAGGTAGAATGTGGAACAGCTGAATGTCTGACCAGGACTTGAGTCACTGACAGATTTCATCTTCAGTATCTCATCTTGCAGCTCGATCCCTCTCTCACTGAATCGAGTGGCGAAACAAACTTCGACAAGAACCGAGAATGTCTAAACCTGTTCATAGTTACAAATGTTTTTCTCCTTAAACTTGAAAGACCTGCCTGGTGACTCTTTGGTATTGAAATCCCACCCTGGCACTGGAACGCTGGTGAAACTGGTGTGTTGATTTTGGCACTTGCATAAATAACCTCCTTGGAATGTTTTCCAGTTCATGTGCTTTTGTTAATGAGTCTCTACAATTGCAGAGATCTGGTAATGTGTCTTTCCTGACTCTGAGGTATATTGTGGCTGACAATTACTACGACAGTAGGTAAAACTGCAGGGTTTTTTTCTGGCAATAACTGTGCTTTTTACGATTTTCGTATCTTTTTTTTTAAGCAAGTTGGGGCTGTTTGTTGTTTCCGGTTTTAACTTCCGATGTGCCGTCCCTTCCCTCATTTGTGTAAAAGTATGTGTGTGTGTGTCTCAAAGGGAAAAAAGGCACTAAGGAAATATGCAGGAAAACTTGTCTTGAGTCAGAGGGCAGAGAAGCAATATTGCTGTGCTCCTCCCATACTATTCACCAGTGGCGCAGGGGGTGTTGACGTGAGTTTGCAGATTTTCCTAGCCAATTTAAAGTTAATAATAACTGAATAATAGCTAATAATAGTGAATTGGGCAGTTTCTTCCACCTCTAAGTATATTCTATGCTTGCAGTTAAAGAATTAATCTATTTTATCTGGGGCCAAGGAAGATTCTGACTTTATTTACTTTGAATCCAAACAAAATTTTGGTTATGACACCCTGGAAAAGATTTTACAACAAAATAGGAACTGTGTTTAAACTC